GCGTCTTTGCTTTTTTTTGTTAATGTTAATCCTCCTGAATGTTTTCATCGAGCTGTCTTACAGCTTGATACGTTTATGCTTGACGATGTCACGATACATGGATGCCCGAGCCAATCATCAATTGATTGATGTGCCATTCTCGTGTTTGCTTGATATTTTGAGTACATATTTTATGCCCTGTTTCTGATTACGTCAAAGGATCTACGGAAGATGGGATCGATCCTCCACCGACAAATGGTCGGGTCCTTTGGTTCACAGACTTATCAACAGGGGGTGTATGTTGATATCACACCTGAGTTCTGCATGTTCATAGGCTTATGCAAGATGATGATAGACTATGAGACTGCGACTGTTTGATGAAAAGATGTTCGCAACTTTACATAACGAAATCTAGACCTGATTGTGCATATCACATTATCGACTTGTTCTACAGACTGACAACGATAGACACAGCACTATCAAAAAGCAGACAGGGAATCATAATAATATCCTAGACACAATACTGCCATACTAACAATCTACGTTCCCCCCACTCTAATGTATCATTTAACCTCTCCCAAAAAGCTTATGCTTGAGCTTATCCGCCAACCCCTCAGGATGATGCTGATGATGCTGGCGCTTCTTCTCCTCCTTCTCCTTACGGGCTTCCTCGTCCAGGTGGACGTTCCCCTGGCCGCCGCGCTGGATAAATCAGGTACAGTTAGTTACAGCACACCACAACGCTCCAATCCGCTTGCGATGAAGATAAAAGCGAGTCGGGAAGGGAGAGGAAGACATGAACATACACCAACATGATAGTTCTCATCCGCCGACTTGCGGATCGCCAGCTCGGGGATGATTTCCGCGTCGTGGGGCGCCCGCGACACGGGCCGCACGTTGGGGGAGCCGATGTTGCCGGCTCCGCCGCGCTGTCGTCGCATTCTCTCAGTATCTGCTCATTTGTCTGCTTGATTGGCGTGGGACACGGTGGGACTTACACCGGCCGAGTAGGCGCCGTCGCCTTGGTCGCCGTAGGGGCCTTCGCGGACGATGCTGCCATCGACGTATCTGGGGTTAGGTTAGAGGGTGGGTTGGGTGGTCCCGGGTGCGGGGGTCGACGTACTGGGTGGAGTCTGCGCCGATGTTGCCCTGGCCTGGTTTGCGATATGGGGTGTTAGAGGGGATTCGAGGGGGTTATTTTGGACTAGGTATGTATGGCGTACCTCCGCGGCCGTGCGAGACGATTGGTTCGTTATCGCCCATGGGGGTGGGTTGTTTGTTGTTTAGATGGGGTTTGGTAGGTATGTACTCTGCAGAAGCGAGAGAGATACTGGGACGAAGAGGTTAGAAGTATGAATAGGAGGATGCTACGGATACTATAACTTACCTAATAATAAACAAGATGCCCAGTTGAGGGGCCGCAGGCAAATGCGGGATGTGAGGGATATATAAAGATAAGGCCCAGAGATCGGGCAACTTCGGCAACAGGTCAGACTACAGAACAGGAAAAACTGCACCACGCATCCTACCCCTGAAAGGATCGTAGGGATTGTTAGGAAACCAAGGTCATCGTTATATGACAATGATGAACCAGGCGTCAAGCACGCATCGAGCCTCGTGGTCTCGGAGACTGGAGAGAGTCCCTGTGACGTCGAGGCGCAGTGGGCTGATAAGATACGCCAGCAGTGTTTACTGATTGGTCCGAGCTGTGACTAAAGTGGTTACCTACTGATAAGAGATGTCTTGGCGATGATGACACCTACTTTATTAATCGGCCAGATTATTCGAGTGAGCAATGGAAATTATCATAATCGAAGAGAACTTGGAGACCAGTGGATCAACAAACTTTATTCAATACTTGAGTTATGACTACCTTTTAACATACTATATGAAAAGACCGTCCTCCAGATCTCACTGTAACCGATAAAGCTCGAAGACATTATCACGATGCACTACCCTTGATCATCTAGAAGCCGGCGGTCTTTGTTTCTTTCTTCGGAGCGGGAGGTCCACCGCCGGTGGTTGGGAGACCCATGAAGATCTTGAACGAGTCGTAGCTGAAAAAGTCAGTACGTCTGCCATTGTTTCTAGCACTTGAAGGGTGAAACTCACATCATCCATTGCAATCCAGTCTGAACAAAGAGTTGTTAGCTCATGACCTCAAACACATGCAAAAAAAAGGAGGACTCACAAGAGTTCCGATCATAACGATTCTGACGGGGAGACCGTTCCAAAGACCCTTGAAGCCAATATCCTTGTAGATACGGCCCATTGCAGCACCAAATGCCTCGCCAGGCAGTCGATTAGCATTCAGCTTACTCACCATAACATCAGCGGGATGAGACACGACGGCGCAAAGGATACCGGCCAAGTAACCACCACTAAAGGCGACTGCAGTCTGCGCGCCCTTGCCGTATTCTTCCTTCTTTCGGGGCAGCCTGTTGTAGATAGCTTCCACAATGGTCTCGAAAGACGCGAATTTCATCATGGTGTATGGGATTTGTCGACCCCAGAGCGGATACAAACCTTTGTAGAGACTATGTTGCGATCAGTGGTGAGAGGTCCAGGAGGTAGATTCTGAAGCGACATGAACTTACCCAGCCACTCCTTCCTTGCCGACGAGTTGAGAAATTCCAGAGAAAGTCCCCTTGAACTCAGGAGGAATAGTTGTCTGCGTGCGCACCTTGACAGCTTCGAATGGGCATAGGGCGACATCAGCGATGAGTTCCGCCGAAGCACTGGCGGCGAGATACAAGGACGTCTTCCATTTATGGGCACGCTCCTGTCCCACGAGATCAGAATAGAACTTCTTGAAAAACTCGTAACCGCCATATTTGAATGCTCCTTGAGCCTTTGCCCCTGTCAGTCAGTTCTGATCAAAACCGCGCCATAAACCGTCAGCTTACGCTGTATCCGAAAAATGTCGGACTCCAACCAGTGAACACGCCTCTCACGCCTTCTGCACTGCGAATCACGCGGAACGCCTCTATGTTGCTCTTGTACAGCTGCGAATCAACTTGTCGGCGGCATTTGATCAAATCCAGTGGCGTCACTGCTGTGTGGGTGAGACCCTGTTAATCGGTTAGAAGTAGATCAAAATAGACGATATCAGTTCCTGAGACCTACACAAGCTAGCAGACCACCGACGGTACAAGATGCATAGTACTTGGGGGTCCATGGCTCAATCTTGCCTGCTTTGGCTTGAGCCTTTTGACTGGCGACATCGAATTCTCGAGCAGCCTCTTTAGCGAAAGCATCGGCTTTCTTCTTGGACTCGTCAATCACACTCCAAGCCGGGAAAGGCTCCCGTCTGATCGAAGCCGCAGATCCCGCTTGCTTGGGCTCTTTGGGACGGTTCAGAGGGTTCTGGGCGTTGAAGGCCTCGAGGATCACACTGTTAGAGGGAAGCATGATGTCAATTTAGAATTGATTCGCAGTTAGTTATAACACTATTGATTGATGGCGTCTGGTCAATTGATCTGATGAGCTGGTACGAACGGATCCTCGATACCAGGTCGTTGTCTCCACTCGTAGGGCTGATGAGCGGAATAGCCGGTTCGAGGAAGGCAAGTAGATGAGTACGAATCCAGATCTGATTTCAAAGCTTTGCACTTTAAAGAACGCCCACGGGCACAGGCAATCCCAAGCGAAATTATGGAAGATTACATCGAGACAAGAAAGAGGGAAAGGGGATGGAGAGGTCTGACAAGGGCTGGAAGGACGATGACGTCGGACTTGGGACGTACTTTGGCATCCTGATTAGCTAAACACCCGTTCTCCGCTCACTCCTGTCACAAAATGGCGCTCATTTTTCCCCTCCGCGCCGATCCCGATCCGCCGAAGTTAGTGGGCCGCAGTCGACATAAAATTAACCTTGACTCAAGCTCGATTGCTATAACAATCAATAGCGCGACGAATAATTCTTTACAGGCTTCTTGTGGCTCGCATTGTAGCAAGAGTGCCATTGATTGATGGTCCGAAGTCGACTCGCTACTGAACGACGTTCTGCCCCTCATCCTAATCCACCCTTCCTGAACCTGACACTATCCTCCGAGAATGGCCTCTTATATGACCGCCAGCGAGGCATTCGCTCGTGAGAAAGTCGCCCCAAATGTCGAGGTATCCACAAGTCAGACTGCCTGGGCTGACAAGTATAGAGGGGTTCGCCTTCCCTCCATGACAATGCCACAAGAAGCACCTCGATGTGACTAACCTCTGTTGTAGGCTACTGTTGAAGATCTTGACCCCCCTCCTGCGCTCTCTGTCTCTCCTGGCGATTCTATTGCTTCCGCTATGCTCGCAGCATATGAGCGCGATTATACCCACCTGACGGTAATCTCATCGAATCGGTCTTTACTCGGATACCTCAGCATACCGCGACTGAAGGAGTTGCTCAAACAGGGCACCGTCAAGGAAACGGACACTGTCTCAACTGCCATGCAGCGCTTCAACCGCAAGCGTGGCACATATCAGGTCATCACAATGGAGACGCCGTTAGAGGAGCTAGAGCAGTTCTTCGAGAGTGAAAAGGGACCCAACGGAGAAAGGAGAGAAAAGCAGCAGTTTGCCGTGGTCACTGATGCGTCCCGGAAGTTTGTACTCGGGGTTGCAACCAAGGCTGATTTGGAGGAATTCGTCAAGAGAAGACCGGCATAGATACCAACAGTTGTTTAGTTTGCGTTTCTTTGAACACTACTTCTTGACTTTATCACATACCACGAGTCTTGTTCGTGCATCTGCAGGCGTCAGTGGCCATTTGATTTGAGTCTTGGACATCTTCTAAGGGCCACTATATGCATGCGACACACATAGTTTGTGGCGATCGTCGCATGCTTGACCATGAGACATAATGGATCAAACAGGGATATTCAAAAAAATATCGGAACAGAATTCAGATCTTTTCAACACACAGCGTCCACTACTTTGCCAGTCGAACTCATAACATATCAAGTACACATATAGGTATATCGAGAAACGGAATAAAGCGTGTGGAATTAATTTGCCGGCGAAATTGACCCAATCTACTGGGCCTTTTTCTCTTTCTTCTTTGACCCTGCTTCCCTCTCTTCTCGATCATCTAGCCATGCCACGTAGATATAACCGAACAAGACCAGATTCGCAGTGATTGCAGCCGTGATACCAGCCACAGTTGAACTCGCTATCCAAGTCAGCATGGATCTGGAATGAAGCGAAATTACTGATCGGATGGGAGAAAGACATACCACCAGAGTTTACTGTGACAAAGTACATGCCGATAGGACCGACAACCATGGCAGCGGTGAATCCCAGTAGCTTGTAGATGACATCTCTATACAAGTATAAGCCTATATCAATCTAATATATGGACCAATCCATATGCTCGGACTGCGGACAGTATAGTGACATGCACTGGAAACTACTTACGCAGGAACTGCAGGGGTAACATCAGAACTAGCTGGTCCCTTCGGCGGCGGTGCGGCAGCCGCCTCTGCATAGGATTTCTCTTGAGAGCGACGGTTAGTCATTGTGAGTGAAATCAAGAAGAAGAAAACACTTGTTGTCTTGCTGTTGTAAACGTGGTGTCGAAAGACGGAGGAATAGGTTCAATATGTAATTGTCGACAAGCCGAGAATGGTGATGAACAGATGAGAGTCCTTTTTCTTTCTTCAGACAAACTTGATCAGTTGCTCTGAATAAAGAATAATGCTAGATAAAGGTTGAGCTATGGAGAACTTGATATGCATCTACTCGTCAAAGTGTTGCTTCATAGTAAGGTAGGTAGCTCAAGGTAGCTTAAGCTAGGTACTGACCTAATGGACGGTACGGGTATGGAGCACAGTGAACGGAGCTCCATTCGTCAGGGGCGTGTGATTGGTCAGTCTTCTTCAATTGGTGTAATGGTGTGAATACTGGCGGCTGATTTCGAGGTAGATGAGTAGCCATAGGTATGATCATTGTTGCCTCTGACAATGGAAATATAAAGTATTATTCTATTCTTACATCCTGGTCGACTTGCCCATAGATGCTGCATTATTCACTGGGCTATGTGTTCTTGTTTCCCAGTTGGTCTTAATTGAGGCGCCACCTCACGTGATCCAGGCGCGTCCGCCGCGTTTGCTGGAGGGAAAAAAAGCCAGTGATGGAACGAATTCTGGAGAAGCAGGCGAGCTCTCTTTTGGCGCTGCGTTGGGGTTTTGCTCCTGTTTCATTGCTGTCTGATTTGTCCATCTTTAATTCGATCTTTATTGCTTAATAGCCTGTTGTCGATTGACAACATGGACGATTCCGTCCCTGATACCCCCGTCAGCGACAGGAAGATTGTCCGTAGTACTCCTCCGACCGGCGTCAAGGATGATATTGAATATGAGACTATCGCCACTCTTCCACTGGCCGCTCAACCCTTCCAATCACTTGCAACACAATCGTTGACCCCTGCTTCGCAGCGACTTACTCAACCGACACAAATCATTGAAGTCCCTCATTCAGCCAAAAGTACCGTCCAAGTTGCCGCTTCTTCTCCTCCAGGCCCGGCGTCCTCGCCGTCCCGTCCTGCCTCGCTGGGAGGTCGCCTTTCTAATTTGATGGCACCTCCTGGAACGCGATTCTGCCCTCCTGCCTCTGTCGGACCTGCAAAACGTACGCCCCTCATAGATCTTGACGACGACGGTCCAACATACGTCGGTGGATCTTCCGACGAAGACACGCAGTTGAAAAGAAGCACGGATATCAAACCATCTATGTTCACCAAGACATCGCGAAGTCCCGAAAAAGTCATGGATTCCCCGCTGGGTGCCAATTCTTCGTCTTCTTTTGATCGGTTCAAGGAGGTCACCTCCTCCGCGGTCTACAACCCGAGCGCCAAGCGCGCTGCTTCCCAGATGGACCCAACGCCCAAAGGAATCCCCATAAAAAAGCCCAGACAGAGTGGTCCTTCCCGCGCGCAACCAGTGGAGGTTTCCGTTATGTCATTACAAGATATTCAAGACTACCAGATGAGGGTCAAAGTGGAGAGAATGTTGAAAGTGATGCCGCAGAAATCGGTCCAAGCTTGCATGCAAGCTCTTGTGTTCAAGCGGGGCAATTATGAGGATGCATTGGATCATCTGGCAAATATAGAGGAACGAGACGCACCTGGTTCATCCGACGATGAATTGATTACAGCCCAACAAGCCGAACAGATCGCGCCAGCGAAGCAAAACATCAAAGCTCGAGGGACAATCCAGGATAAGTGGTCGGCCATGAACCTGCAGAAGAACTTGGCAAGCCAGAGGGCCCAATCGCAGTCGCAACCACAACCGCTGGACGAGGAAGAAGCGAAGCCACGGAGACGCTTGATGAGAGGACCAAAGAATCGAGTGGTTTCCCCAAGTCCTACTCGTTCCGAGACTCCTCCCAAGAAAAAGCCTGGACGACTGGTACAGGGACGGAAGCAGCCTTCGCCCGCACGTTCGGAATCACCTGAAGCACCTTTGATCATAACGGACGACTCTGACTCCGGTGTTGGCGATGCATTGGAAAATGGGGAATCCGAAACCAAGGTTTTGAGGTTCATCAACACGTGTCAGGCTGTAGAGCTTGCAGATCTGGCTGCAACGACGGAGGATGTTGCCCAAGTCATTATCTCCCACCGTCCATTCAGGTCTCTAGACGAGGTCCGCGCTGTACCCGCCCCATCAACCGAGCAAACCACAAAGCCAAAGGGCGCCAGGGGCAGGAAGACACCGAAGCCAATTGGCGACAAGATCGTGGACAAATGTCTCGATATGTGGGTGGGTTATGAAGCGGTGGATTCATTAGTCGCCAAATGCGAAGCGCTTGGACGCCCGGTTGCAGCAGAAATGAAGAAATGGGGCGTTGATATCTTTGGAAAGAGGGACAGTGAATTGGAGCTGGTATCGATTGACCGAGAGTCGCACGATTCTGGCATTGGGACACCTGCTAGCCAGCGTACCGACGAGGATAGCGATGGCCCTGCGTCAGGTTCACGCAAGTCTCGTTTCATTTCTCAACCCGGTATCATGAGTGACGACCTGAAGATGAAAGATTATCAAATTGTGGGGATTAACTGGTTGTCATTGCTGTTTGAGAAGCAATTGAGCTGCATCTTGGCCGATGACATGGGACTTGGAAAGACATGCCAGGTCATTGCATTTTTAGCGCACTTGTATGAAAAGGGCATAAAAGGACCGCACTTGGTGGTTGTGCCTTCGTCGACAATCGAGAATTGGCTTCGGGAATTTCAGAAATTTTGCCCGACGTTGTCTGTCATGCCCTACTATGCAGGACAAGCAGAACGTGCCTTGATCCGCCAGACCATCGAAGATAACCGTGATGACATCAACGTGATTATCACCACCTACACTGTCGCAAAGGCGAAGGTTGACGCCCATTTCTTGCGCAACATGGACTTCTGTGTTTGTGTCTATGATGAAGGACATATGCTCAAGAGCAGTACATCAGTGTTGTATGAGAAGCTGATACGGATTCCGGCCCGTTTTCGACTTCTGTTGACCGGTACGCCGTTGCAGAACAATCTCCAAGAACTGGCCTCACTACTGGGCTTCATCCTTCCAAAGGTCTTTCAAGAGCGCAAGGAAGACCTTCAGTACATCTTTGCAAACAAGGCAAAGACAGTGGATGAGTCGCACTCCACACTTCTCTCGGCGCAGCGCATTGAACGGGCCAAATCCATGCTCAAGCCGTTTGTATTGAGGCGGAAGAAGCATCAGGTCATCGACCTGCCCCGTAAGACCTCTCACGTTGAGTATTGCGAGTTGAATAGCGCTCAGAGGGAGATCTATGAGCATGAAAAGGATGAAGTTCGTCAGCTCCTTGCTGACCGCGCCGCCGGAAAGAAGACTGGTAACCGGTCCGCCAACATTCTGATGAAACTGCGACAGGCTGCTATACATCCTTTGTTATACCGGCGTCACTACACCGATACCATCCTCAGCCGTATGGCCAAGGCCTGCTTGAAGGAGGAGCAATGGTCTCTATCCAACCCAGACATCATCTTCGAAGAGCTGCAGGCTTATAATGATTTTGAATGTCATCAATTGTGTGTCAATCACCCTCATTCCCTGGGAAAGTTTGCTCTCAAAAACGAGGAGTGGATGAACTCTGGGAAAGTTGACAAACTTTGCGAGTTACTCAAACGGTTTCAAGAGAACGGGGATCGAACACTGGTGTTCTCCCAGTTCACTCTGGTTATGGATATCCTCGAGCATGTCCTTGAGACTCTCCATCTGGGTTTCGTTCGATTGGATGGTCGGACGAATGTAGAGGATCGTCAGTCCATTCTAGACGCTTTCCATGAGCGAACAGACATTCCAGTATTTCTTCTTTCGACGAAGGCCGGTGGTGCAGGAATTAATCTGGCCTGTGCGAACAAAGTCGTCATCTTCGATTCCAGCTTCAACCCACAGGAAGACGTGCAAGCGGAGAACCGAGCACATCGTGTTGGGCAGACCAGGGAGGTAGAAGTCATCCGTCTTGTCACCAAGGACACGATCGAAGAGCAGATCTACGCTCTTGGTCAAACCAAGTTGGCTCTCGACCAAGCCGTTGCAGGCGACGAAACCGAGAGCAAGAAGGGTGAAGAAGCTGGAATGAAGGTCGTGGAGGATATGCTTCTTGCAAAGGAAGAGGGGGTGAAGCCAGATAGCACGAACGCCTGATCTTCTTTCAATCCTAGAGTCATCGGTTACAGTTGAGCTGGATTAATCTTCTTGACTTGGATTTCTGTCTAGAACGCGTTTTTCTGCTGCAAGAGAGTCAATCTGCATATCATCATGTTACCGGATTGTTCAGGGACACATGTGCATTCTACTGTTGTCGGATCTGGCGGGTTCAATGGTTCCCGCCACTGGTCTTTCTTTTCAGGGGTTCGATAGCATCCATAGCATTCACCAACGCCTGTTAGCGGTTGGTGACATTCTTAGAGTAATAGGAGCATTATTGGGTTAACCAGAGATCATTAGTCTATGTATTTGATTGAGCAGTTGCATTACCTTTGCTGTAGCACAAGCCCCTCTCCAGTGCGAAGAACAAGATGTCCATGGCTGGTGATGCGGCAGTACGTAAGACAAAGGCCTCAATACGCTTTTAAACCAGGTGTGTAAACAGGTATGTAGTAGGACCCCGAGGCGCCCTACTACGTATCACTAGCCTCCAAGGCATCCAACCATTCCCGGTTCTGAGTCTCGACTTTTGACTCAGCGGCTCCTCAATGATGACTCTAGCAGCATGCTGGTGAGCTCTCGTCTCTGTTGATGATAAGCCTCGTCTAGACATCCTTACCTTTCCGGCAGATCCAAAATGGATGATTCTGGACGTTGCATTGCTATTCCCTGTGCTGGTGCTAATTACTACACCCTTTGTTGGACGTTATTGATAAAGATTTTTGCTACAAACTGCGACAGACACGCAATACGGACTATTCTTCACCATGGGAATATATGAGGCTACTGTTTCATTATTGTAGAATATACTTTGCGTTGAACCAAGATGAATGAATATATTCACA